GGGCTCGCACGGGAGGACATATGTCTGTGTACGTTTGCGACATTGACCAGGCGTTCGAAAGCTGTGAAAGTGAGAGTCTTCCAGGGGATTGGGATCGCATTGCCCATTTTGGTCAAGCGGAGTGGGAAGAGTTGCAGGAAAATCCAGCCGAGGTTCCGGGCAGCCCATTGGTGTCCCTGGACCTTGGCCAGCTTGGTGTAGGAATACGGGTTGCAGCTTCTGGGACTTGTGCGGCTCTCAGAGACGCAGTCCTGAAGATGAGGGGGGCGAGCATCGGTGGCACCATGTCCGGGGCCGCCGTTTCAGTGCACCTTGCAGCCGAGGAGATGGGCGATCGCGGGTCCGAGTCGGGCAAGACGTGGAGCGCTGGTTTTCGACGCCAGGACGGGGATGGTTGTCTTGATTGGGTCCGATTTGTTGACGATGTGCGCAGTGCTAGTTTTCAGTGTTGTTCGACGTGCCTCAAAGATTATTTCAGTTGGCACTACAACGAACCTCTCAGCACTGTCTTTGTATCAGGGAGTAGTGCGGAATCCAAATCTACGTGGTTGAATTTTGAGTTTCACATCTTCGGCTGGGGGGTCGCCTGGACCTTGAAGAACGCGAGTCGGTCGTGGTTGTTCGGGGAGAGCCAGGTAGCCGAGAGATTGCAATTTCTTCCGTGGGTGGGCTGTCCACCCCAAGGGTTTCGAGTGCTGCGGGGTGCTATCTTGGGCCGTCTCGCAATGTGTCGCGATGGAATCCTCGATGACGTGACCACCGCATTCGTCGTTTTGGAACTGCATGTTGAATTATTTCGGCTCGGGTATCTTGTTGACTTCGTTCGGAAGATATTGCATAGTTTGCCGTGCATCCCGGCAGTCATCGCGGCTCGAGGCTTTTCCCGAGGGCTTCAACAAGTCATGAAGCGGGGGCGCGGCTCTTCATGGCGCGGCGGCTGGCGTTCGCGGGGCCAGAGTGGATCGAATCGTGATTTCCACAAAGGTCGGTCGCGACGCTCGCCGTCGTCAGGCTCCAGCCGTGATGCAAGAAAAAAGAAACGGGTCGATCGAGCACGTGCTCTTCTGGAGAAAGAAGATCCGAAGTTTCGAGCCTACTTGAAGTCCGAGGCGGAGTCATTGCGCGAAGAATTTCAGCGGCAGGGGAAGTTGTTGGCTGACACGGTGGCCGGCTTGCTGCCCGAGCATCTCAAGCACGTCGCCGGGACTGGTGCCCAGGCCTTTCCTGGATGTGGGTCCAGCGGTTCAGCGAGCGCTTTTCCGCCCAACCGTCCAGGCGCAACGGAGGCTGGTGGCTTCGCAGAACAGCAGCTTGCACAGCTCAAGAACACGATTGGGACCATGGTGCCGGCTGTGGCCAATCAGACCGCTCCCCCAGGACCGGATGGAGGCAAGGCTTCGGAGCTCACAACGACGCAGCGGATCCTGTTCGACGCGATTGTCCAGGATGACATTGAGCTCAAGCACGGGGCGCTTGCAGAGTTCGAGGCCGCCATGGACGCGAAGATGTGGCAGAACAAGGTTGTCAGCGAGGGCATTTCCGTTTCATCAAAAGAACTGGCACTGGCGGCGGTGTTCCGCGCTTGAAGGCAGAGCGGTTGAAGCTGTTCTGGGCCTTGCTGCAGGCCCAGAAGTGAGACCACACTGTTGTTATCGTACCTGGAGTCGTTTGCAACAAGTTTGGAGGCGATTCAAAAACCACCTCGTGCTGTTGTTCATTCTCATCTACATTGCACTGCTGCGTCGTATGCTGTGTCCTTGTCTGTATTATTGCCGACCTCTTCTCCGCCATCGTTGTCGGGGTGGGGTGCCTGATGGTACTATGGGTGGAGTCCTCATTTCAAAACCTTTTGTCTTCTCTCAGTGCGACCACAGCGTGGACGGAGATGGCGAATGCCCTTGGGGGTGGCCCCAGTTTCGGCGGGATCCAACATGTTATCCTGGAGCGCGCTGTCCAGACCGTGGGAAGCGAGATTGTGCAGCGAGCGTTTTCTGGACTGCTGGGCGGGGCGATGGCCGCCCTGACGTGGCCCCGCTGAGGGCCGTCGCGGAGTCGAGTGATGGCTGGCCCTCCACCTCCAGGCGGAGACGAGCTTGAGTTGACTCCCGGGGCCATCCAGAGGCGACGTTGGCTTTGAGGCTCTGATTGCCCTCCTCCCTGGGCAAGTGTTTCCGTCGCAATCCCGGCGCAGAAACATGGGGAAACAACGGCAGAACACAGCAACGCTTTGTAGCAACAGGTTCCGTCGTGACGGTTCCTGGCCGAGGATGCGTCGCAGCCATGTGTGCGGAATCCGTGCGTATCGTCTCTCGTCTCCGCCGGCGTTTGGCCCGAGCGGAACGGACTTGCACTTTGGGCGCGGGCGCTCCACCTCAGTGCAAGTGGCCCGAAAGGCGCGGAGCTACCTCGTGCACTTTTGTGTTCTTGAGCAAGAAAAGCACGAAAGCGTGAAACAAGGTTTGGACCCATGTTGAAGCAACTAAGCTGGCCCAACAGAAGGTTGGGACCAATGGGAAGAACATCAGGCATCAATCGGTGAGACAGTCCCAGCGATTGAAGTGGTAACGGACAGTTTGAGAGGCGCTAGCGCCCCTACGTCGAATATAGTAGGAGACAGCGATTTTCAGGCGATTGCTGGACTTCGCCAACGGCCCAGCCGTTCCAATGAAGCGAAAGCATCCCGCGAAGAACGCGCGGGGACATCGAGGGGCGTCCGGGACGTCAATATGGCACAGCGTCACCTGATGGATATTCCTGGGAAAGCGATGCCTTTCTGGCTCGACTTCGTCTCCATCTCAAGTTGTATGTCCTATGCGAATCGTACAGTGACTGAGTACAATCGGAAGGAAGTCATCAAAGTTGCGGTACAATTCTTCCCTGAGTACTTCGTCGGCAGATGAGCCGCCCTTGGAGACAGACGTGATTCACGAAGTGCCGCGCGAATTATCTAAATTTGTAAACAGATTATGGGTTGAACCTATTAACTGGATCCCCATTCATGGACGATGGGGGAGAGTATTGTTGGCTGTCCGAGAGGCTATATATTTATTCATGGCAGATGGACTTCATCTTGCATTTTCAGGATATGAATTACGAAGAATCTAGACTGATACGGACATCGCCCGCGATGACAAACTGTGTGATGCATATGCTTCGGACTGCCGGATCAGATCCGCGATTGGATCTTTCGATCTACTGCGTGAGTGGGCCAATGGCTTGGGAAAAGAAGTTCAGGGCACTGTCAGACGATGTTATACAAAGATACAGCGTGCTGTCGTTTCCATGCAAACGTTTATTCACATTCCTCTCAATGCCAGGATTCGCCTGTCCATCAGTCGCTTTGGCTTCTTTAATACTGACAAAGCTATTGGTCAAATACATTGCGTAATGAATCCGAAAAAGAGGAGAGGGGCCCAGCTGAATCCCCACCCGCGGCCCCGCGGCCTTCCACGGGTTCTGCGGCTCCACCGGCGGAAGCCAAAGCTCCGAGCGGCTCTGCTGGTTCGGGGTGCGCAGCCCAGCGGAATCCTCGAGCACCGTCGACCGAGGGCTGGCTGGGCGGAGAGGGGTGCCGCTAGGCCTGCCCCTTGCAATCCTGCGCCCACCGGCTCAGCCGCGTCGGGCAGCGATGCCGGCTGGATTGATCCAGATCGGGTTCGTACATGGGCCGGTGAATCTGCGTTCGAAGCAGATGGCCACGCGAGCGATGCCGGCTGGGGCCCGACGCAGGACTGCTCGGACAAGAGCGACGATGGAGGAATTCAGGGATTTCGTCCACGCGACTCGTCATGGGCACGTCGCGCAGAGCACCGAAACTTGGCACGGTCGTACCTTGCCAAAGCCACCGCCGCCACCTACGCCGAAAGCGCGGCCGGCGGACAAGGGCATGGGCAAGGATCAGTCAGACAGCTGGAATATAAGCAGAGAAAGAGACATATGCGATATTCGTCAACGAGACCAGTATCGGTGGAAGTGGCGCACGAGTGATGAAAAGGATAATTCTCGAAGCTGGGGAAAACATGGGCGCAGGTGAGCGTGTGCGATATAGACCAATGCGACTTCGTCGACATTGGTGTCGCGTCCAACGAGATGTGGGTGCACCAGGTGTGCAATAACTTTGTGGTCTGAGCTGACATTAGATATTCGCTCAGGCGGGTTCGTCGGGTTGTTTCGGTCTTTTGCCCCCTGGCAACCACAGTTGAACGGTAACATTGTTATTGGGGGTCGCTCCTGTGGCTGCGCGTATGTACAGGCCAGGTGGGTGGGGGGTCGGGGCGACTCCTGCACGCCCCGCCGCAGGGGGAGTCAATGCACGCCTTCCGCACCACCATCCTGCTGCCTCTCTTGCTCTCTCACTTTGCACTGCTTGGCTTGTCTGTTACTTTACAGCTGTTTGGCTCTAGGGATACAGAAAAGGAGCGAGCCTGCGGCCGCGCGCGCGTTCGTCGGCCGGCTGGCCGGCCTCCTCTTTTCAGGGTTACCCTATTGCTAGCTTAACGGTATATTTCTTCCTCCCCATGCCATCGAAGCCCACTGAACATGAGTCACCAACGGAACATATCGCAGGGATTCTGAATCAAAGACTGGAGGGGCCCCCCCCGAGCTTCTCAGACCACGCGCGCGCTATGGGGCTGGTGGGACGTCCGATATCTGATGAGGATTTGTCTCGTGATTGGGGAGGCTTCGAGCCTCTCGCTTGCGTTTGCACTTGGTGCCTCCGAGTGCCCGAGTGATGGTGGGGGTTCGCTGCAGCGTTAGTGGGTCGGCGGGACCTCTTGGCACTCTTGTAGGGCAAAGTGCAGGATCTCCATGCAGAGGCTGTGATGATACAAGCTATAGATAGGGACATCCGACACATGATGAGGATGTATCTCGTGGTAGGAAGAGTCCGAGCTTCTCGCTGGCAATATAGTTTTGTTGGCCATGACGCGCACGCCTGGGCGTCGAACTCAAGACGCCACGCACAAGGATGATCCATGAAGGGATTTCGAGAGCCCGAGGGGACCGCCGTGAGGGCTTGCTTTTGCAATTGGTACTTCTGAGTGCCCGAGTGGTGATGGGGCTGCAACTTGAACTTGTGGGCGGAGCCTCCTTACAATGTTTGATGTTTTGCGCATCCCCGCCAGCCCATCCAAAAGACGCAGTCAGGGGAGCTGCCCTGATCAGGAAAGTGTAGCGGCATGCAGTGGAACAGCAAGAGGGCAGCGATTACCTTTGGAAAGAGAAGGGGGTTCCCTGGAGCTTTTTGGGCAATATTGTGCAGATCTGGATAAAGGGGGGTGGAGCCTTGGTGGAGCGTTGGGTGGGGCTCTCTTGGGGGCCATCTTGCAGGCCTTGTTTTTTTTTTCGGGCCAGATCGGAGAGCTTCCAATAAGAAAGGGGCGGCGTTTATTTGCGACCCCCTCCCGTCGGCCCTCAAGCCCGCCTCTTGTGGCGCGCTCTTGTGGCGCCCTTGGGGCTCCTGGGGCCTTTCTAGGCTCCTCGTGGGGTTCTATTGGGCCATTTTGGAGCCGAAGGTCAAACACATTGGACACCATAATGGTTTTGAGCGATTTTTGCTTTCCGGGGTCCTCCAGAAGCTCGGAAAACACTCGGAGCCGTCCCGGGGCGGTCTTGAGGGCTCTTGGAGGTAAGTTGGAGGCTATCTTGAACCATACTGGAGGCCATCTTGGGTCATCTGGGACCCTCGTGGCGCCATCTTGAGCCGTCTTGGACGCTCCCATCCCTCGCGAAGCTAGGGGTAGGGTGTAGGAGGAGAGGGACTCTGCGAGCTCCTCAGACCACGCACGAGCTAATGGGCTGGTGGGACGTCCGATATCTGATGAGGATCGGTCTCGTGATTAGGAAGACTCCGAGCCTCTCGCTTGCTTTTGCAATTGGTACTTCTGAGTGGTGATGGGGCTGCAGCTTTAATTTGTGGGCGGAGCCTCCTCGCAATGTTTGCTGCTTTGCGCATCCCAGCAAGCCCATCCAAAAGACGTCGTCAGGGGAGCTGCCCTGATCAGGAAAGTGTGGCGGCATGCAGTGGAACAGCAAGAGGGCAGCCGTTACCTTTGGAAAGAGAAGGGGGATCCCTGGAGCTCTTTGGGCAACTTTGTACAGACCTGGATAGGGGGGTGGAGGGGTGGTGGAGGTTCGGGTGGGGCTCTCTTGGGGGCCATCTTGAAGGCCTTGGGGGGTCTCTTCGGGCCATACTGGAGGCCTTCCATTAAGAACGGGGCAGCGCTTATTCGTGCCCCCCCCCCCGTCGGCCCTCACACCTGCCTCTTGTGGCGCGCTCTTGTTGCGTTGGGGCTCCTGGGGCCGTCCTATGCTCCTCTTTGGAACTCTCTTGGGCCATTTTGGAGCCGAAGGTGAAACACATTGGACACCATAATGGTTTTGAGCGATTTTGGCTTCCTGGGGTCCTCCAGAAGCTCGGAGAACACTCGGAGCCGTCCCGGGGCGGTCTTGAGGGCTCTTGGAGGTAAGTTGGAGGCTATCTTGAACCATACTGGAGGCCGTGGTCTTGGGTTGTCTGGGACCCTCGTGGCGCCATCTTGAGCCGTCTTGGACGCTCCCGTCCCTCGCGAAGCCAGGGGAGGAGGGGAGGAGGAGGGGGGCCCCCCGAGCTCCTCAGACCATGCTGGCGCTGAGGGGCTGGTGGGACGTCCGAGATCTGATGAGGATCGGTCTCGTAATTAGGACGGCTTCGAGTCTCTCGCTTGCGTTTGGAATTGGTACTTCTGAGTGCCCGAGTGATGATGGGGGTTCGCTGCAGCGTTAGTGGGTCGGCGGGACCTCTTGGCACTCTTGTAGGGCAACCTGCAGGATCTCCATGCAGAGGCTGTGATGACAAGCTATAGATAGGGACATCCGATACTGGATGAGGATGTATCGCGTGATAGGAAGAGTCCGAGCCTTTCGCCGGCAATCTGGTTTTTTGGACCACGACGCGCACGCCTGGATGTCGAGTTCAAGACGCCACGCACAAGGATGATCCATGAAGGGATTTCGAGAGCCCGAGCAGACCGCCGTGAGGGCTTGCTTTTGCAATTGGTACTTCTGAGTGCCCGAGTGGTGATGGGGCTGCAGCTTTAATTTGTGGGCGGAGCCTCCTCGCAATGTTTGCTGCTTCGCGTATCTCCACCAGCCCATCCAAAAGAAGTCGTCAGGGGAGCTGCCCTGATCAGGAACGTGTAGCGGCATGCAGTGGAAGAGCAAGAGGGCAGCCGTTACCTTTGGAAAGAGAAGGAGGATCCTTGGAGTTCTTTGGGCAGCTATGTACAGATCTGGGGAGGGGGGGTGGAGGGGTGGTGGAGGTTTGGGTGGGGCTCTCTCAGAGGCCACCTTGAAGGCCTAGGGGGGCCTCTTCGGGCCATATTGGAGGCCTTCCATTAAGAAAGGGGCAGCACTTATTCGTGCCCCCCCCGTCGGCCCTCAAACCCGCCTCTTGTGGCACGCTCTTGTGGCGTTGGGGCTCCTGGGGCCGTCCTAGGCTCCTCTTGGGGCTCTCTTGGGCCATTTTGGAGCCGAAGGTGAAACACATTGGACACCATAATGGTTTTGAGCGATTTGGGCTTCCTGGGATCCTCCAGAAGCTCGGAGAACACTCGGAGCCGTCCCGGGGCGGTCTTGAGGGCTCTTGGAGGTAAGTTGGAGGCTATCTTGAACCATACTGGAGGTTTTCTGGGACCCACGTGGCGCCATCTTGAGCCGTCTTGAACGCTCCCGTCCCTCGCGAAGCCAGGGGTAGGGGGCAGGAGGAGGGGGACCCCCCGAGCTCCTCAGACCACGCACGCGCTAATGGCCTGGTGGGACGTCCGATATCTGATGAGGATCGGTCTCGTGATTAAGAAGACTCCGAGCCTCTCGCTTGCGTTTGGAATTGGTACTTCTGAGTGCCCGAGTGATGATGGGGGTTCGCTGCAGCGTTAGTGGGTCGGCGGGACCTCTTGGCACATCTTGTAGGGCAAATTGCAGGATCTCCATGCAGAGGCTGTGATGACAAGCTATAGATAGGGACATCCGATCCTAGATGAGGATGTATCTCGTGATAGGAAGAGTCCGAGCCTTTCGCCCGCAATCTGGATTTTTGGGCCACGACGCGCGCGCCTGGATGTCGAGCTCAAGACGCCACGCACAGGGATGATCCATGAAGGGATTTCGAGAGCCCGAGCAGACCGCCGTGAGGGCTTGCTTTTGCAATTGGTACTTCTGAGTGCCCGAGTGGTGATGGGGCTGCAGCTTAAATTTGTGGGCGGAGCCTCCTCGCAATGTTTGCTGCTTTGCGCATCCCAACAATCTCATCCAAGAGACGTCGTCAGGGGAGCTGCCCTGATCAGGAAAGTGTAGCGGCATGCAGTGGAAGAGCAAGAGGGCAGCCGTTACCTTTGGAATGAGAAGGGGGATCTTTGGAGCTCTTTGGGCATTTTTGTACAGATTTGGAAACGGAGGTTGGAGGGTTGATGGAGGTTTGGGTGGGGCTCTCTTGGAGGCCATCTTGAAGGCCTAGGGGGGCCTCTTCGGGCCATGTTGGAGACCTTCCATTAAGAAAGGGGCGGCGCTTATTCGTGCCACCCCCCGTCGGCCCTCAAGCCCGCCTCTTGTGGCGCGCTCTTGTGGCGCCCTTGGAGCTCCTGGGGCCGTCCTAGGCTCCTCTTGGGGCTCTCTTGGGCCATCGTGGAGCCGAAGGTCACACACATTGGACACCATAATGGCTTTGAGCGATTTGGGCTTCCTGGGGTCCTCCAGAGGCTCGGAGAACACTCGGAGCCGTCCTGGGGCGGTCTGGAGGGCTCTTGGAGGTAAGTTGGAGGTTATCTTGAACCACACTGGAGGCTGTCTTGGATTATCTGGGACCCTCGTGGCGCCATCTTGAGCCGTCTTGGACGCTCCCGTCCCTCGCGAAGCCAGGGGTAGGGTGTAGGGGGAGGGGGACCCCCCGAGCTCCTCAGGGCGCGCCGGCGCTGAGGGGCTGGTGGGACGTCCGTGATCTGATGAGGATCGGTCTCGTGATTAGGAAGGCTTCGAGTCTCTCGCTTGCTTTTGGAATTGGTACTTATGAGTGCCCGAGTGATGATGGGGGTTCGCTGCAGCGTTAGTGGGTCGGCGGGACCTCTTGGCACATCTTGTAGGGCAAAGTGCAGGATCTCCATGCAGAGGCTGTGATGATAAGCTATAGATAGGGACATCCGATGCTGGATGAGGATGTATCTCGTGATAGGAAGAGTCCGAGCCTCTCGCCGGCAGTCAGGATTTTTGGACCACGACGCGCGCGCCTGGACGTCGAGCTCAAGACGCCACGCACAAGGATGATCCATGAAGGGATTTCGAGAGCCCGAGCAGACCGCCGTGAGGGCTTGCTTTTGCAATTGGTACTTCTGAGTGCCCGAGTGGTGATGGGGCTGCAGCTTCAATTTGTGGGCGGAGCCTCCTCGCAATGTTTGCTGCTTTGCGTATCTCCACCAGCCCATCCCAAAGAAGTCGTCAGGGGAGCTGCCCTGATCAGGAAAGTGTAGCGGCATGCAGTGGAAGAGCAAGAGGGCAGCCGTTACCTTTGGAAAGAGAAGGAGGAGGATCCCTGGAGTTCTTTGGGCAACTTTGTACAGATCTGGATAGGGGGGTGGAGGGATGGTGGAGGTTTGGGTGGGGCTCTCTTAGAGGCCACCTTGAAGGCCTTGGGGGTCCTCTTCGGGCCATATTGGAGGCCTTCCATTAAGAATGGGGCAGCACTTATTCGTGCCCCCCCCCCCGTCGGCCCTCAAACCCGCCTCTTGTGGCACGCTCTTGTGGCGTTCGGGCTCCTGGGGCCGTCCTAGGCTCCTCTTGGGGCTCTCTTGGGCCATCTTGGAGCTGAAGGTCAAACACATTGGACACCATAATGGTTTTGAGCGATTTGGGCTTCCCGGGGTCCTCCAGAAGCTCGGAGAACACTCGGAGCCGTCCCGGGGCGGTTTTGAGGGCTCTTGGAGGTAAGTTGGAGGTTATCTTGAACCATACTGAAGGTTTTCTGGGACCCACGTGGCGCCATCTTGAGCCGTCTTGAACGCTCCCGTCCCTCGCGAAGCCAGGGGTAGGGGGTAGGAGGAGGGGGACCCCCCGAGCTCCTCAGACCACGCACGC